AAATGTCCCCGGCTAGAAAACCAAGGAGATTGCATCAAACTCACTCCAAAAGCCAATCAAAGAATAACTTAAAACTGCTGTCACTCACTTAGATTTTGCTTCCTGGTCCTTAGTGGTAGCTGATGAGGTTTAGAAATAAGCACATGTATCTGTCTATACTGAAGGGAAGAAAATAAATCTACTATGGCTCCAGTTCAAAACACTGCATGAGCAGTCGAGAGAAACAATTTACCAGAACATGCTTAATGGTAAATCAGAAATGACATGTATGAAATGACATATATGAAAACATGGGGCTGCAACTTGAAAATATTGGAAAATGAGTCATCTATCAGATCTTGGACTGATAACACTTTGTAAGTTGCAATTGCTGGATATCATGTATCTATGTGATCAGGACCATCCGTAATGATGAATGGTTCATGTTCACACAGCTTCAAATGCCTGATTTCTGAAATGATCAACTATTTATTAGCTGTAAGGTAAGGGGAATGATGCATATGATCTTCTCCTGTGCTTAGAGGAGTTAAAATTCATTTATGGAGCTACAAAGATTATGACATGCAATAAAACTTCTAAACTATGTAATAACATCCAAGGTAGGATTTTGTGGATTATGTGTTAGTAATGATATTTAAAGAGAATGTTAACATTTTGTTAAGCAAATATATTAATATATTAACTATGTGATAATTTTAATTTTAATTACAATAAATTAATTTTATCATAAGCATCTTCTTTTCTATTTATACATAAAACTCTTACAAATTCAAATAATAAAAAATGATGTTTTTAATCTGTACTCAAGAATAGACAGTCATATGTTTTATATATAAAGAGAGTCTATTTCAACATGGCAAAACTCCTTCTCTACTAAATATACAAAAATTACCTGGGCATGGTGATGCATGCCTGTGGTCCTAGCTACTCGGGAATCTGAGATGGGAGGATGACTTGAGGCCAGCGGGCAGAGGTTGCAGTGATCTATGATTACACCACTGGCCTCCAGCCTGGATGATAGAGCGAGACTCTGTCATAAAATAAATAAAAAATAAAATAATAAATAAAATAAAATAAAATAGAAAGCGTATAGGTCAGCTGGATGCAGTGGCCCATGTCTGTAATCCCAGCACTTTGGGAAGTTGAGGCAGGAGGATCACTTGAGGCCAGGAGTTCAAGACCAGTCTAGGCAACACACTGAGACCACGTCTCTAGAAAACACACAAAAAAAAATTAGCCAGCATGGCAGCACACGCCTGTATTCCCAGGTACTCGGGAGGCCTGAAGTGAGAGGATCACTTTAGCCATCGCATACAATTTGCAGCCAGGTGGCAGACAGTACAGACCTCAAAGCCTCCATTAATTCAATGAACCCCTTCCCCAGCACACGGACACATACACAAAGACTTACACTCATGTCGCTTGCTTATGGGAGCCGGTGTTTCTCCTTGGGGGTAGCAAGGATGAGCTTTTTATTGTCACTGTAGCTTCTCGGCTTATGCAAGTCAACACCTTTGGATAAGGGCTGAGAAGAAGATGGAATCCATCCTACCTCCCTCTTTATAATGGTGCCATTTAAAAAATTATTTTGTAGAGACGAGATCTTGCTATATTGGCCAGGGTGGTCTCAAACTCCTGGCCTCAAGTGATTCTCCCACCTCTGCCTCCCAAAGCGCTGGATTGCAGGCATGAGCTACTGTGCCCACCTAAAACAATGCTATTTTAAAGGTGAGGTGCATTTAAAGAAAGGGTGTATTTGGTAGGCAAAATAAGTACCCTCCAAAGATGTCCAGGAACTCATCCCTGGAACCTGTGAACGTGTGAGACGACAAGGCAAGGGAGGAAATGAACTGGAAGGTGCTAATGACAGGTACCAATCAGCTGACCTGCAACATGGATATTATCCTGGGTTATCTCTAGGGGAGTCCAGTGGAATCCCAAGGGTCTTTCTAAGTGTGAGAAAGGCAGGAGAAAGGAACCAGATAGCCACATGAGAAGGCTCTGACCCCCCAAAATACTGGCTTTTAAGATGAAGAAAGAGGCCATGAGATAAGGAATGATAGGAGCTTTCAGAATCTGAAAAACATAAGCAAACAGCTCCTCCCCTACAACCCCCAGAAGGGACACTGCCCCACTGCCATCTTGCATGTTAACCCAAAGGCACTCAGTCCAGACTTTACATTGAAACTACAGAACTGCAGGGTAATAAATGTTTGCTTTTATGTTTAATTCCAAACATTTCAGAAACTTATTTTAATTGACAAACTTAAATGATATATACCATCTACAACAGGTTGCTTTGAAATATGTATATATTGTGAAATAGCTACGTCAAGCTAGTTGACATTTGCATTACTTCACCTAAGTATAATTTTCTTTGTGGTGAGAACTCTTAAAATCTACCCTCTTAGCAATCTTTAAAAATCCCAGTATTATCATTATCTGTTGTCACCATGTTTTACAATAGAGCTCTTGAACTTATTCCTCCTGTCTAACTGAAATCTTGTACCCTTTGGCCAACATCTCCCCAACCTTCCACCTCTCCCAGCTCCTGGTAACCATCATTCTATTCTCTGTTTCTGTGAGTTCAGCTGTTTTAGATTCCATATAAAAGTGAGATAATGCAGCCAGGCTCGGTGGCTCACGCCTGTAATCCCAGCAATTTGGGAGGCTGAGGTGGAAATATCACTTGAAGCCAGGAATTTGAGATTGGCCTGGGCAACACAGGGAGACTGCATCTGTCAAAAGAATATATATTTTAGTTGGGCGTGGTGTGCACACCTGTGTTACCAGACACTCTGAAGGCTGAGGTGGGAGGATCGCTTGAACCCAAAATGTCAAGGTTGCAGTGACCTATGATCACACCACTACTGCACTCCGGCTCGGCCAGAGTGAGACAATATCTCTTAAAAAAAAAAAAAAAATGTGACTTCAAGTACACAGTTACTCACTTGATAGTAAGGGGTGGTATAAATATCAACTGTTCCATCACTAAGTACATTTTGGCTTCTTTCTCATCCATCCACTATAGAAGAAATAGTCAGATAGCCCAGTATGTACAACAGAACTCGCACATGAACCTCTGCAGTGCTTATTTTGCCTCTGTAACTACTGAAAGAAATCTCAAATAAGGATCTTCTTAGAAACTTAAAGTAGTACTTAATAGTACTTAGTACTACCAACACACGCTTTGGGAAAAAGGAAAGTTCTTTACAAAAATGCAAACTTTAGGAATTAAATGCTTCCCACAGGGACTAACTTATTCCTGTATAAGTGATTATAGGCAGAAAAACAGAATCTGAATGAACTTGCTTTTTTTCTTAAACTTGGAAAACCTAGAAAAGGTAAGAGTGGTATATAGGGGCCAATTAAAATAAAAAGCACAAGGAAAAATGAGAGGAAGTCGCTCCTGTCCTCCCAATGAGGGTATTGTGTTTTGAACAATTCATGAATGGAATTTCAGAAACTCAGCAAAAGAATACATTTAACTGACTTACTCCAAATATATTCTGAATTTCGTATTTACTAAATAAAGTGTTTCCAAATGAACATTTTTTTACATGTTGTTACATGTAAAATTCCTTTTACATGCAAAAACGTGTACATCTTTTAAACATGTTTTTGCATGCAAAAATATCTTTTTAAACATGTTGTTATATGTTGTTATATGCTGTTACATGTGAAAATTGCACATTAAGAAAAGGAAAGGTAGGTGAATTCATCATTCAAGTTTTTAGATGCATATATACTTAAACTTCCGCATACTCCACAAATACTAAACTTGAAAAACAAAGCACTCTACATAATTTACCTTGCCACAGATGTGAAATAATTGTAAGCATACATAAATGTTAACGAAATACTTTCATTCAGTGCTAAGGGGAGGTATCATTGAATGATGGACCAAAACAAACTACATGGCATTTTGATGTCTGTGGAAATGACATGCCCACAAAGCAGTGGCTCGACACTGATATTAATATATCTTGCTCAGTTGCCTTAATTATTTATAGTAGTTTAATTTTTTCAAGAACACAAATGTTAAGGTATTTTTAATAATTTTGATAAGGCCATAGAATGTATCTATTTTTTGAATTCCTACTTTCATTGGAATTGCCTCTTTATCCTAATGAGTAAATACAAAAGAATGCATAGATAGGATAGCTTTTGTCATCGTCTTCTTGTTTTCTGAGAAAGAGTCTTGCTCTTGTCGCCCAGGCTGGAGTGCAGTGGCACAGTCTTGGCTCACTGCAACCTCCAACTCCGGGGTTCAAGCGATCCTCCTGCCTCAGCCTCCTGAGTAGCTGGGACTACAGGTGCATGCCACCATGCCTGGCCAATTTTTGTATTTTTAGTAGAGATGGGGTTTCACCATGTTGGCCAGGCTGGTCTCAAATTCCTGACCTCAAGTGATCCACTCCCCTCGGCCTCCCAAAGTGCTGGGATTACAGGCATGAGCCACCACACCCGGCAGGTTTTGTCTTCTTTTACTAAAGAAAAATGTATTTTTCTATGCCCGTGCTTTCTAGATTTTTGGAACTGATACAGATCCACAGAGGCGAACTGAAATTTAAATCATCTTTAATGTTAAAATTTAATTGACCGTGTACATAACTATGCAATCCCTGCTTTCTCACAGAAGTGTCTAGGATTCATTCAACAGATCATAGAAACAAGGTCTGGCATTTAACAGACAAATGACAGAGGAGCTATACTGATTTATACAAGAATTATCAAAACACTGTCATGTAGTTTACTGTAGTTCAAGTTGTGCTTGTATCATATAATAGGTTCAAGTTCTTTCTTCAGTCATCAGAATAACAGAGGTTGAAGAGACAACTAAGTGTCAACTCTTCCAAAAGCTGTTTCAAAAAAAATTTAAGTAACTGTGATACACATTTCTGCAAATAAAATATTCCAGTCCTTATATCAATCCTGAGTTTTTAATATTTAAATATGCACTACTTACAGTTCTGACACGAGTTTATTTAAAAACACGGCTAGTTATCAAGTTCACTTTCTTCATCGGAAGAAATGATGCAATAATTGTCTTTACAGTCCTTGGTAGCCTAAAAGAAAAAGTCTAGTTCACTGACAAACCACCACTTTACACCTCATGTTTTAAACAGGGTTAATCAGATGTCAAAAGGAAACAACTTTTAATATTCAAAGGATGCTGGTTATTTATTTCAAAGTGAAGAAAACTGTAATCAATACATGGAGCTCCAAATACCCACTTAAATTTTTTAATGCCAGATTTCAGTGAAATATTATTTTAGCAGGTCCAACTGTCATGTACTTTGCTTGAATAAAATGGGTTGATGAGCATCTTAAGGTCAAGATGGAGCAAAGACAGAAAAAGATAGGCAGGCTTATATCATGAAATATATTTTTTCAGCAGGATTATCAGCAATAGTCTACGTAACGTGGTTTCCACTGAAGGGATAAAATGGTCGGTGATAAGACCTCATCAAGTTAGAGAAAATGTAACTATGTTTGAAACATACACTATTCCCTCAACAAATAGTTCAACAGTTCCTACTCCCTAAAATGTTGTATGTTAATGCTGAGGAAGATGTAAAAAATGTAAGCATAATCTCTTCCATAATCCTGTGACATGAGCAAATGCACAAACAAAAAAATTAATACAAAAATTGTGTAATGCTATGGAAGGGCAACTCACTCAGACGTGTAGCCAAAAATGGAGACTGATGTTGACTTAGTTGGCAAAAGGTTTAAATTGGTCAAAAAAATTTTTTAAAGCATTGTGAGGGAAGAGCATGAGTAAAGCATGAGCGTAACAGTGAATTCCTTCAGGGAAAGCTGTCAACCTGGATAGGCAGGAGCAAAGACAGAGGGCGGCAGAACAAGCCTAAGAGGGGTCACGTAAAGTGGGGAGTCTCTGAACATCTAAGAACTGAGACAGGGCACCACTGACAGGCTGGGAAGAGCGAAGGGTTAGGAAGCATTTTAGGAAGGGGAGGGTTGTAGGAAGGTAATATTGCCGATCAGTGAAGGATGGCTCAGAAGAGAAGAGAGAACTCAGAAAAGAGTTTAATAGTACAAGCAAGGAAGAATGAGGTCTTGAACTAGGGCAGCCGCAGTGGGAATTTTAAAAAAAGAAATTTAAGGGCCATTACAGAGGTAAAACTTGCCTCATGGTAACTGTATGGGAAGGATAAGGGACTCAGAAGAGTCCAAGACGATAGCAAAGTTCCTACCTTAAGTGGTAACATGCAGCATTAACACTGACAGGAAAACTTCTAGTTTCATGTTCATACCAATTAACAAATGGTTTCTGGGGAACATTATAGCAGCATGTTCTCTACTTGTGACTTCTATTTAAATAACTGTTAGATCATTCTCAAGTTGCTTGAAAATGTTATTTTCAAACTCTTTTCTCAGTTTATTTAACACATCTCAGTTAGTGTAGAAGAGTGACATATGAACATGTATTTTCACAAGGTTATTAAAAAGAATACCTTATTTCCCAGAAAAGAATTCCACTATTACCTAAATAATATACATCTACATGAAGAAGTGATTGTCCGATGACAACTTGCTAATGTGCTATACGACAGCAGATAATTCACAATTCACAACGTGTTAATAATCTGCTGGCTTTCCCATTCTGTTATACATCTGAACCATCCCTTATTATTACAAATTGTCATGTAAAACCATTACTGATAATTTTGTGAGTGAATATGCCATAAAACAGTCCTATATTATAGCAGGAAATAAAAGAGACACTCAGTAGTTACACTTGCCTACTTCCTATTTAAAACTCTTGAAACATCACAAGTAAAAAAGACACCCAGAAAGGATTTATGGTCTTCTTGCCTTCCACCATAGATTTATCACTGACGTCCTGAAAACTGAAAATAAAATCATTAAAACTCATTTATGCCTAGCGTTCCATTATTGGAACGCTAACCTTGTGGGAATCATGTATATCCTACCACTCAAGATCATTGCCAAGGTCTGATTTTTCACACACAAAAAACGTGCAGCCTCTGGCATAAATGGGTCAATGTGTTAATAAAATGTCAATTTTATACACATGATGTATATTTCCAGGTAAAATTTCCAATTTACCTTTTCCTGTTCTAAGTAACTCCCACAAAACTATTCATGAATCCTAAAAATACATTTACCAATTATGTTAAATTTGGAACAATACATTCAAAGTGAAAATGGTAAGTAATTTAAAATGTATAACCAAAATGTCTTTCCATACATTCAGAAACAAGAAGACTTTCTTCTATTATGCACGTGGTGTATTTTATAACGTATTATGTTACCAAATAGAACAGACCTTTATGAATTGCTCACGTAGCGGCTTCACCTCTTTCAGCCCCCCTCTCCTAACACTTGTATGTTGTTGACACCTCTTCTGTTTTTCTTGAAATGCTTTCTAGAAGTACAAAAAAGTAGTGATGAAAATTGGGTAACTTTTAATACTTACAAAACATAATTCTGCATTAGCTTTACAGGAATACTCTTTAAATCTATACTTCTTAACACTTTCTTTTAAACAACGTTTATGACCAATTTTAAAGAACTGTGTTCACCACTCATATGCTAAAGTGATATAATGACCTTTTTCATCAGTCATTGAGTAAGGAATTTTCTTTCTTCTACATACATATTCAACACATATGTCTTAATTCTTGATTTCGAATGTAGAGTATATGATGACCCTTCCTATAATTTGTTGACTACAGATGGGTAAGATTTATACAGAAATTAACTAAGAAACATTCTTTCTTACTAAGATTTTAAACTGGTATTAAATCTTGGTCATTTCAGTATGCACATAGATGAACCTTACAAAAATGATGGCCTTTCTGCACCTTGACCTAATCTCCAACAACAGTGTTCTCCTCTCCTCTACATGGCACTCACTTATACAGTCATCCCCTAGATTTTGTCATTCCCAATGACTGCAACACCTACGTAATATTAATAATAGCAATGATAAAGAGCAATCATGGGTCAGATCACATCCTGAAAAACTTAACCCGTTACACAGGAACCCTTCAATCCTCCAAATAACTCTGACATAGGTACTCTTATCACGTCTCCTTTTGTAGACAAGGAAATTTCGGCACAAAGATAAATAGTTTGCCCGTGGTTCCTGAGCTAGCAATGGTCAAGCTGGAGTTGAATCACAAGCAGTGGGGCTGCAGTGCCCCAGCCCTTGACCACTGCACTCAGCTGTTTCTCCATCTTCCCAACATACAGCCACTACCTTCCTGCCACTGTAGGTCACTCACTTCAGTACTACAGCTCAGGAGTCTGTTGGGATATGACACCCACCGAATGGAACACTTTTCACTGCCCATTGCCCACTCCCATGTGCTCAGGTAACTCAGTTCCAGCTGAAATTCCACAGCCAGTCATCATATCCCCATCCCTGCGTCTATTCCCTGCCCAACTCTTCCTCTATCAATGTGCTTGGCTACACTCCAACCCAGGAAATTCCAACCCTACAGCTGCTTTTGCACAAATATGCCAACTGGGCTCACTTTGACTTCTTAATCGCTATGATGCTGACCTCAGTTGGACCACAAATGCTTCATGGCAATTATATTCCTCGGGTACATGAGTTCACTAACGGGCCCCCCTCTCTGGGCTCATGCTCTCTTCCTTCTTTGCTGGATTTCTGCATGAACAATTACTCCCTGAGACACTGATACAATAGGTTAATCATAAAGCTAAGCCTGACACCAACAATTACTTCTTCTTCTGTTTCTTCTCCTTCTCCTTCTTCTTTCTCCTCCTCCTCCTCCTTCTCCTCCTCCTCTTGTTCTTCTACTACTATTACTTCTGCTGCTGCTGCTGCTGCTGCTGCTGCTGCTGCTTCTGCTTCCTCATCATCTTTCTGCTTGTCTGCGATGTATTCTTTAAGGACATTCAGCAACTTCCGAGTATGTCTATAATCACGTTTCTGCCTGTAACACATAATATGTAACACTGTCATATGTCATAGAGAGATGAAAAATTAATCCTATTCAAACTAAAACAGACTTGACATAATTTATACTATAAAGTAGCAAGGGAGTAATAGCAGCTGAAATCTTTTTGGGAAAAGGTGAAATGAGTTACTCATTCTGAAAGGATCCCTTCCTAACTGACTACTAGAGCAGCTATCTCACATTATTTACATGCTGAAGACAAAGGAGGGTTTACAGCACTATAAATTTCCCAGAAACAATCATTTTCTCTAACAGCAGTTTACTTTTCATTTTCTCAAACTAAACAACATATGGGTTCTCATAAGTAAGTTCAAGAATATAACAGCCATTCATCCCGTAAGATTTCCCAAAAGAAATGCTTCACTTAACTATTTCTCCACATTGGCACAACAGTGATTTTCTAAAGGGAATAGTGAAAACAATTTAACTAAAATAGATAACTTATTTACAACATAAGGTTGTCCCTTTCCATATAACTTAATATTGTTAAGGATCTACAGACTAAACGTTGAAGACATTTATCTTACATGCAGCTGCCGTATTTCTAGAAACGGATAAAAATTAATTTTACAGGAAGACTATTTTTATCTGGAAGGCAAAAAGAGGTTATCTTCATTGGCTTCTAGGTAGTATCTCTCAATTCTGTTAAACTGAGGTTATAAAACTAAAGAAACTTACCTGCTTAGGGAACAATCAAGTAAAATATGTTGTTCCCTAGAGACACCAATATGTACAGGATAGTTTTTGAAATTATTTGCACCAACAAATACAAAGAAATGATATAAATATCATTATGCAAAAAAGCCAACAATCATACCTTTTTAGTTGTTTTTTTCTCAAAGCACGTTCAATTGTGTCCTTGGTTTTCCTATAAGCGGCTTTATCTATTTTTATCATTTTTCTTTTTGCAGCAAGGTCCTCTTTAATGTTAGCTAGGTAGTAAATGAAAATGCATTAAAAGTTAATGCTGAAAAGTACTTTCTTCGCATACATTGAAATCAATGTGAGACATGATGGTTCAGCAATATCGGAAGGACATTTACATTGTAAAATGCAAAGATCACTTCAAAAAGCAAGATTTACTCATTTGTTTTCTGTAAAACCTTTTAGGTATTAATATTAGCACTCTAATTCCAATTGGTATAACTGCAAATCACTTAATTGATGGATGATGAAAAAAAGCAAATAATTAAAAGTTTCTATTTTTTAAATGTGCAGAAAGGGTTACAAACACAGACTCTAATTTCTACATTTATAAAATGTCTTGTAATTTAAAGGACATGTTTCCATGAAATACTGTCACAATTCATTATGCAAAACATACAAAAAAGTATCTTATTTAATAAGACCATCAAAAGGGTAGAAATAATACACAATAAGAAAAGCATTTTTTAAGCAATCTAGTGATTGATGCTATTAACTGTATTTTAATAAAAGAAGCATCGTCCATGGGTGTAAAAATTTAGGCTTAAGTAAAGAAATACATTCAAAAACACTTTTGAAATATTTTCTTGGAGCTTTTTATATGATATTTTTATCCATAGTGTTGTGTTTCAGAAAACTGTAATACTACAAGGAATGCGTTCCTAAACATGGTTTCACATTAGAGATCTACCATCAATTGCTAAAGATAGTTTTCAGCAATCATAAAAGATCTGCACCATAATACAAGTCTCCATCTATAAGGAGTCTCCATTATATAATGGAGACTTTTTATAGTCTCCATCTATAATGCTCAGTTAGGCAGCTCACAAAACCAGCACTTAGTCACTAAGCAGAGCAAAGCTTTCCAAATATACTGCTTGTATGAATTATCGCTATAGAAGAGCTGAAAACTGAATTGAGCTTTTTAAAAATATGAGTATTGTCTCTGTCGTCTTTACAGAAATTTTCTCAATTTTTTTTGAAAATATGGTCCTATAACAGTCAGTGCAACTAACAGTTCACATGGCAATACAAAATGTATGAGTTTTTGGATCCAGTTACATGTTTCTCACTGGGTAGAAAACTTGTCTTTCTTTTTCTAGTACACAGTTTATTACTGGAATAATAATAGAATATCATCATTTTAGATAATTCGATTTTCTCTTGTACTTTAAAGAAAACAAAATCAGAATGCTGTGACAATAGAATAGCTAAATTAGGAACATAAAAACTCATATTAAAAACTCTGAGTACATACGGACAGGAAGAGGGGAACAACAGATACCTGGGCCTACTTGAGGGCAGAGGGTAGGAGGGTGATGATGAAAACCACCCACCAGGTGCCACGCTTACAACCTGGGTGACAAAATAATCTGTATACCACACCCCTGTGACATGCAATTATCTATATAACAAACCTGCACATGTACCCTCAAACCTAAAATAAAAGATAAAAAAACTTATATACTTAATCTGTGTACACTAAAAGAAACGAATACAGCTGTTTCTCCTCCAGTGTCCTCTAATATTCCCCAAATAATTAAATTTCCACGTGTATGAAAGAAAAGCCATCCCTCTCATTTCACCATTGTTAGAAGCATTCTCACATTCCACATCAACAATCAAAAAGGTAAGTATGAAAATTTATTAAACACATTACATTAAATACGTATGTTAAACGCTATATATGAGAAGAAGGCGTGTAAGACAGTCTTGTCATCCACTAATTCATATAACCTACTGTAACATTTGTATGGTTGAAAATAATTTTCAAAAACTACGAATAGCTCCTAAAACATACCTGCAATATATTCTAGCTTCATGGTATGAATCCTGTAAAAAAAAAAAAAAAGTTACATCAAAATTTTAACATAATGCTACACAAAATGCCATGTTTGTTAGGAAGAAATGTCTTATGTGAAATGTTCTGCATAGAATAGAACAGTGATGACATGATCCGAAGCTGACTTTTCCCAAAATACTTTATCCGACAGGCAAAAGTGACTTAAACACTTTACCCCATGTGCTCATCTCTTTCAGCAAAAGGTTCTCTTTCCCCATGCTCATCAGTTACATCTTCCTCCCTTGTTTCTGTAAAAGGGTTTCTTCCCTCATGTTCATCATTGACTGGATCCTTTCCTGCATTAAAATTTAAAAGACAAATCTTTTTTAGAGGAAAACGCTGTTGTAGACATTTTTCGTGGAGAAAGGTACCATTTGTGGACTTTTTTGGCTCTCTATCAATTAAAGCTTTAAAGCAGAGCTATGCGTGGAATCACTGGGCCCCTGGCCATTTTACGGAGGCATTTTTGGAAGCCCTTCGGGTTCAAGTCCCAGTAAACAACGCTCACAGGTCAGACCCCTTGGATGTTAGGACCACACTCATGGAGAAGAGCTGCTCTGAGAGCATCTGTAACCCTGCTATGAGGGGGAGCCTCCCACGGGAAGCCTTAGGCCCTCGATCCTGCTTTGAAAACCTGGGGCCTCTTAGCACATGCATGGTGGACTCCAAAGCCACGAAGGGGCCAGGGGTCTCGGGCTGCCCGTGTGCCCCCCGCGCAGAGAGCAGACAGATCGTCTCCTTGGGCGTGCACCTTCTTTCGTGGCCCCTTGGGCTGTGTTTACCTGCATGCTCCTTCACGGGGGCGGCCATAACTTGAGCCTCCAACTGAACCTTGGCAGCCCTCTTGCTGCGCTTCCTGCCCACGGGCTCCATGGTTGGCTGTCCTGGGAAGTTAGAGGCGACCCCTGAACCTGGTTGAGTGCAAAGTCAAACTAAGTAGGCTAAGGAAACAGGACATGTGAAAGGAGAGCCATTGGGATTGCGAGTTCAAGAAAGGGTGGGGCTGGCCCACCCTGTGTGTCCTGTGGGAGCAGGAGGGGACGGAGAAGATGTCAGTGTCCCCTTCTATCCTTCCTGGCCCGTCCAGCCTGTCCCTGGGGCTGGCTGCAGAACTCACAGCTGCCTCGCACACCTGAATGGCCCCTGCAGGACCCTTGCAGTGCCCTTGGGACACAGCTCGGCCCTGCCCCTGTGTTCCCCAGAGACTTGTGTGGCCTCAAGGACCATGGGTGACACAGGACCTGCCCAGCCATCTCCGGGGGAATGTCAGGGGCTGCACTCCCACTCGCCCGCCTGGATGCCCAGGTGACCCCTGGCAACTCCAAGTGTCCTGTCCTGATGGGCAGCCAGGCTGGAGGGACCCACTCGGACTGTCCCCCACAACACCCCCGCCCATCCCCTCCACACACACTTTGCCCCTCCTCCTCCCCTCCCCACAGCCCCTGCCCATTCCCTCACCCCACGCACCCCACACCCCTCCCCTCCCCTTGCCCATCCCCTGGCCCACCCAGCCCCCGCCTGTCTGGCCACTTCGCGGACCCTCCCCGTTCCGCCAACCCTCCCCTCCCTTGCTCCTCTCCACCCCTCCATTTCCCCCACTCTCCCTTCCCCTAGCCCCACCCTTCCACCCTGCACACATGCACAAGCCCCCGGGACACTCCCGGGCCCTGGGGATCACTCAGGGGTCTCCAGCTCCCTCCCTGCCCCCATCCATCCCATCCCATCCTCAGGGCCTCGCCCTGACCCAGGCCCCAGGCGACGATGCCAGGGCCATTTCTTCACAGGTCAGCCGGCCGCTCAGCGCTTCACACCCTGGTTCCCAGAGGGCCTCGTGCTCACCTTCCCGCTTCCCCACCGCGAACGCTTCACCTGAGAGATCCCTGATGCTGCTTCCTCACAGAATCTACAGACACTGGCACCACGAGGCTTTCTTACAAAAATGGGTCCTCAGTTCTCGTGAGAGCAGCTGGCCTGGCTACCCACGCTCCTTGCTGATTGGTCAGCTCAGCGCGCATGCGGGTGAAGGATCGTGTGGGGCCACGCCACCTGCTGGCACGCTCTCCCCACTGCCTAAGGGGCCGCGCATGGTTGCTGTGGACTGGGGTAGGGGGCGCTCTTTGGGGCCTCTGTTCCCAGAACCTTTCAGCTCCTCCTTCTGCAGAGGCACGCAGGGACTCGGGATGGAGGCCAAGTGGATGGGGCCTAGGACCTCACCCCTGAGCTCTTTCCAGCCACCCCTGCCCCTTTGCCTGGAATGGCCTTCGCCTTGCAAGTGGAGCCCAGGCTCCCTCCCATGCCCTGTGTGTTTCCAACATGCCCAGCTGTACCCTTTTTGTCAATGGATTGTGCTTTTATGTTTTTTTTTGCTTGCTTGTTTGTTTGTTTTTTGAGACGGAGTCTCTCTCTGTCGCCTAGGCTGGAGTGCAGTGGCACGATCTTGGCTCACTGCAACCTCCATCTCCCGGATTCAAGTGATTCTCCCACCTTAGCCTCCCAAGGAGCTGGGATTACAGGTGCGTGCCACCATTCCCGGCTAACTTTTGTATTTTTAGTAGAGACGGGGTTTCGTCATGTTGGCCAAGCTGGTGTCGAGCTCCTGACATCGAAGTGATCCACCTGCCTCAGCCTCCCAAAGTGCTGGGATTACAGGTGTGAGCCACTAAGTCCAGACCCAAAGTCGTGTTTTTAAAGGCATCAACTGTATGACGTATAGTTGTTTCCAAGAAATGACGACTAAAAGGTACTGATTGAGAAACTCTTGTCATTTCTTTCTTCAAAAAAAGTCAACTAGTTTCCTGCTAGTTCTTTCCACTTAAGTTGGCCATAGAAATCCCAGGGGTGACCCTCAGGTTGTCACCTTTCTTCTTGTTGCTGTAAGGTTGGCCTGCTGACAGTAACAGATACACCCCACTCTCGGTTATTTCAGGATCAAGTAGATCCATTGGCCATGGAGTGATGGTCTTTTCAAGTCAGGCTACTTTGAGAGGTAATAAAATATTCGCGTACTTTAATTTATTTCTCTTTTGTACTTGCTTGTTTTAAAATACAGTTCTGCACATAAATATTTTTGACAAGATGAACAATATAGATCTATTTTGTCACATTGCAAAACAAATTATTAAGTCAACAATGACTAAGTAGAACATTCTATTTCGTTATTAATTTTCATTAGGCTTTCAAAACAATTTTCTGTATAACATATTCAGATATTTTCAGCAATGCAGTCAGATGCTGGGTGCAGTGGCTCATGCCTGTAATCTCAGCACCTTGGGAGGCTGAGACGGGCAGACCATTGGAGACCAGGAGTTCGAGACCACCCTGGCCAACATGGTGAAACTCCGTCTCTACCAAAATTACCAAAAAAATTAGGTGGGACCATGCCTGTAATCTCAGATACTTGGGTGGCTGAGGCGCGAGAATCGTTTGAACCCAGGAGGCGAGGTTGCAGTGAGCCGAGATCGCATCACGGCCCTCCAGCCTGGGTGACACAGCGAGACTCTGTCAAATAAAATAAAATAAAATAAATAAAATAAAATTCTTATGTGATGATTATCTGAATTGTTTCTTTTTTCTTTACTTTTATTCTACATGGGTATTACTTCACTTGTTTTAAATAGTTGTGTGTTCATAATAAAGGCTCCCTTTTCTACGTAGTTGGTTTTCCCTTCTTCCCTCAACATTTAAAAAAAAATTCTACAAAATCTAGACAATCAAGGTTCTTCCTTTTGATTTAAGCTCAATTATTAATTTCTCCCCAACATTACAGTTTTTCTGCAGCTGGAAAATGGAACCAAATGATGTCTAATTCTTCCAGCAGTGATGTGAGGAAACCTACACAGACTATTGCTGCCCAGGGAGCTCCCCCAAGCCTGACATCCGGTGTGGTTTTGGGAGCATGAAGGCATGGCAGACTGTCTGCATGACTGAACTTAGTTGCCAGCCCCTCCAGAGGTCAAGACTGATACCAGGTGGCCCAAAGCCCCCACTATAAATCATCAGCATTAACTATCTAGCATGACTCAAAGCTCCAGGTAAACACACACATTATGATCAGGCAGGATATTCCAAGGGCTTAGAGGTTATCTCCTGGAAGGCTGTCAAAGAACAGACCTTTCTTTGGAAAGTGCAGGGTTTGGACAACACAGACCTGCTGAGCTACTACTGCACTCTCAGTGAGTGGCTCATTCAGCTCTTAGAGTTCTGTCTCTCTCTTCCTAAAATGTTCAGATCCTTATGGATGGAAAATCTGGGAAACACAGCACTCATTGTAAACACACCATTCCTAAAATTCAGCTCCTCTTCAACAACCCGGGCTTTTGAACTGGGGCAAAGTCACTATGCCAGGATGACATTTTTTTTTTAACCTTAGAATGAATTCCTCCCAGGTGGCTCCTCATCATTCAGGTAACAAGGCTCCTGGATGACCCATGGCATCTACAGGGCACACCAGAGTCTGAATCACAGCTTATTTTCTGGATTGCCCTTGGACTCAACGAATGATTCCACATCTTCCAAATTCTAGATATCCTGATATTGCAATATTTTTTATCCCTGTTTCTTAATGAAAGAGTAAATGGAGGTAGAGGTGTTTCTCAACAACCTGCAACAACACATTTTTCTTTCAATTATTCAGTACTTAATGGAAATCAAAGCCCTTTTCTAATGTATTGATAACATTGGCAATTGATGACTATTGTGTAGTTGTACTTAATCTACACCATGCTCATTCCTAACATGGGCTATGGAAGCAGCAGAGCGGCAGGTGACAACATATGCACTTCTCTCCCCCTCTGCCCAAAGTTCGTGGTAACTGTCAAATGAGTAGAGGACAGGGGAAACAATAGGAATATTTTAAAACTGTGGTTTTCAGGATGGGAATGTATTAATATCATACAACCTAATTGTTTCCTTACTTTGCCTATATTGTTGTATATTGCCCAAGCTTCAGAGCTGTCAGAGCAAACCTCAAAGATGAGGAACTAGCCAAGAGGTAAAAAGCCAAGCAAAACAAAAACAGCCCGTTTCTCAGTGACTAGGATTTTTAGTTCAATTACATTTCCTTGTGATCTAAATAGCCAGATGCAATGACCCATAGATAGAGCCAGTGTAGAAAATATTTCAACCTAACATAATAATGTCTAAATGGAGTTAGTAATTGTTCTACTCAATTTGTTTCAGCCATTCTATTGGAATTCCTATTAATTGGAATTGATTATAAATATATGGAACGTCATGTAGTGAAACAAACAACCTATTTAGAACACACCAAGTTTCATGGACAACAAGTAACAAATTACTTTTTAAAAATCAATACCAACCAGGCCAGGTGTGGTGACTCACACCTGTAATCCTAAAACTTTGGAGGCTGAGGTGGGAGGATTGCTTGAGGCCAGGAGTTCAAGACCAACCTGGCCAACATAGTGAGACTCCCATATATAAAAAAAAGAAAGAAAAGAAAAGAAGAAGAAAAAAATGAATAACGACATATACAGTGAGATCAAAGAACACTAGCTACCATCTACCCTTGGTTTAATACTCTTAAATCCTTGAGAAGGCTGACATACATGGAGTCTCTCCAGGAAGACGTTTGAGGCAGAAAACCAGAATAGGGGCAGGAAATGTGTCATTTCATCATCTGAAATGGGGACTTTATTAATTTGCCTGAATATAAAGTCAAGAAAGAAGGTATTTTTCAGGACTGTTTGATTAAATGTCATTCTGTTTATGAGAAACATGTGATTATGTGTTTAGCTGAGTATTATTTAAAATGTATGCAAAATCCTGAGAGGGCTTTTGAACTAAGTTCCTAAAATTATCCTCTGGTGCATTCTATTTGATATGCTGTTGTGTGCATAAAATTGTTCCAATAGAAATAAAGCAGATCCTTAATAAAACCAACCCGGCCCCCTTTAATGACCTGCTTCCTATAATTGTAAATTCCATAATCGTTTCTTTTGACTATAGGCAACATAACAAGACAAAACCTATAATGTTCCAAAGGAATAGAATCAATACAAAAACAAAGGTGTTTCATACTACTTACAGAAGATAAAGGTATCCTGCAAGCTGAATGATGGTAGATCAGCTTGTGCTTTTCTAAATCATCTAAATATCTTCAGTGCCTTTGATTACAGCCTCATGCCCAGTTCTTAAAAAATCAAAGTTCACTTTCAAGGAATGTCATTTAAAAACTGCTGATCATCTAAGCCTTGGGAGGTCAAGGACACTCTTATTTCCTTTATACTTACAAGTT